GGCTGGAGTGCAGTGGCGCGATTTCGGCTCACTGCAACCTCTGCCTCCCAGGTTCAAGCAATTGTTCTGCCTCAGCCTCCCAAGTAGCTGGGATTACAGGCACCCGCAACCACGCCCAGCTGATTTTTGTGTTTTTAGTATAGACAGGGTTTCACCATGTTGACCAGGCTGGTCTTGAACTCCTGACCTCAGGCGATCTGCCCACCTCAGCCTCCCAAAGTGCTGGGATTACAGGCGTGAGCCACCACACCTGGCCTACTGTGGTTCTTTTAACATAGTATAATGTGTTTGCATTTGGCCAGTATTTCTCCATCTTCATTTTTATTTTTAGTATTTTTGCACTTAAGTATAGCATGTTGACTTTTCATTGGGTTTTTGTTTCTAAGGGACAGATATTTTTAAATTGTCACAGTAATTTGTAATTTTTTATCTGTTTTCTAGAATATCAATAACTTTCCTTGTTTAGCATTATCTTCACATCTGAGCACGTGATTGGTTCCTTCCATTAGATAGATCTTCCTAAGAATGGCATGAAATCCAAGGCCATTAATGACTGCCCTTTGGGTGTCACTTTCAAGCTACTTGTATTTTAACAACCCCATACTTTCCCGGTTTGTAATTGAGAACATAATGTAAGACAGAATAAAATAGCTCATTCAAAGTGGGGGAGATCCGTGTGGTAACTGAATCAATCTCTGTCTCTTTATACACATGCATACATACCTGACTGCATATATTCATCTTGTGACATTTACTCTACTGTGTGCTTGGCACTATGCTATCATTTTCCTCTTATCTGTTACTCATGAAAATAACTAAATGGATCTGACATTATTTGTTCAGTAGAAAACTATAGCAATTGCTTCATGATATTTAATACTCTTGCAAGCAGTTAGATCATTCGGTATAGTATGTTTCTAGGTGTTGATGTTAAACTGATGAGTTGCTAACTTCCAGGGATATTGTTTTTTAGAGACAGAAACATTGTCTATCCCCAAATTTCAGGAAATAGTCATCAAGAATCTGTTTACTGCCTGTGTTCGTCTAGTAGTTAGTATTATCCTTGACAATTTCATGGCATTGGGGCAAAAATAAGTGATAAATAAGGTATATGCTTTCACTCAGGCTGGGAAAAAAGTGCATGTTGACAGTTAAAATATGACAGATGAGCAAGTGTTGGATTATAAGACAAGGGAACATTAACACTGTTATGGAATTTCAGAGAATGGAGAAACTAAAATAGGCTAAAGTTGTTGAAAATGACTTCATATAGGAAGTTGATTTTTTAAAAAGGAAGCTGGGTGCAGTGGCTCACACTTGTAATCCCAGCATTTTGGGAGGCTGAGGTGAGAGGATTGTCTGAGCCCAGGAGTTTCAGACCAGACCAGCCTAGGCAACATAGCAAGACCCTGTCTCCTTACACACAAACATTTTTTTAATGAGCTGGCAAACCCCCTGGGAGGTGGTCGCAGCTGCTTAGGAAGCTGAGACAAGGGTTGCTTGAGCCCAGGGGGTCGGGGCTGCTGTGAGCCGTGATTGTGCCACTGCACTTCAACCTAGGTGACAAAGCAAGACCCTGTCTCAAAAAAAAAAATGTTATTTTTAAAATAAAAAAGGATAAGATTTTGATACAGGCAGTTCTACGTGGAGCACAACATACACAAAGCAAAGCTGTTTTTGATACTTTGGAATTTGTGTTGATTTGTCAGAAACCATGATTTAGTTCTTCCTTGTCTTATTCCTAGGAATGGTCCATACTTAGGCAGCCTATGTGTAAATATCCCTGTGGTCCTTCTAATCATATAACCTGAAATTAGCACTCAGGAAAATACCTGTAAAGAGCAGTCTATGAACCAGTGAGCATGGGTAGACACATTATACTTTGCCCAGTAAAACATGTAAGATTGCCAGTGATCAGATTTTTAAAACTGCTATTATTTTACAAAATTTATATATTATACAATTTTAAAATAACCACTCTCTTCCATTTTGGAATAATCCTTGCTTTCAAGTGTGCTGTGTGTGCATCCCCGTGTCTGCATTTATACTTTCTTTCCTAGTCTTCACCATACCCAAGAACTGCTCTATGAGAGCACCAAAGATTTTCTGCAACTCAGATCTGAAAACCAAAATAAAGAGAAGTCATGGATGCTTGAAAAAGATCATTTGATGTCAAAGATTAAGCAATATAGGGTGCAGTGTAAGAAGAAAGAAGATAAAATTGGAAAAGTGTTGCCTGTTATGCATGAGAGTCATCATGCCCAAAGTGAATATATTAAGGTAATGTTCTTATGTCTTAAAGAAGTTATTTATTTTTCTGGAAGAGTTGAAGGAATTCCAAATAACCTACAATTTGTAATAAGATCCATTCAGTCCAGGAAGCTCTTGTAGCAGCTACAAGAGCTTCCTCAAGAACTAGGTTTCAAAGAACATCTGATCGTTACAGTGTTTAAGGATTTAAAATATTAGACTTGTTGATTCATTCATTCAATAAATATTTATTGCACTCCTGTTATGGGTTAGGCTCCAGAGTTACAGTAATAAATAATCTAAACAAGGTCTGCCCTCATGGTGTTTATACTTTAATGGGTGAGAAAAAAACAGAAACATTAACAAATAACTAAGAAAATTATAGATTAGGCCGGGCATCATGACTAATACCTGTAATCCTAGAACTTTGGGAGGCTAAGGTGGGTGGGTCACCTGAGGTAAGGAGTTCGAGACCAGCCTGACCAACATGGTGTGAAACCCTGTCTCTACTGAAAATACAAAAATTAGCTAGGTGTGGTGGCAGGTTCCTGTAATCTAGCTACTTGGAAGGCTGAGGCAGGAGAATCACTTGAACCCAGGAGGCAGAGTTTGTAGTGAGCCGAAATCATGCCATTGCATTCTATCTTGGACGATAGAGTGAGACTGTGTCTCAAAAAGA